ATCAGCAGAGAAGGAAGAGAGGAGTGATCGATATACATTAAGGTCAGTAGGATTTTGTGATTTGCCCCATACTATTTCTGCAGCTCTGAGCTTAGAACGATGCTCGCGGAGAACATCAGATAGCCAAGGGGCAGAAGAGGTGGTACGAGCTGGCCTGGAAGACAAGGGGCAGACAGTGTCTAAACAAGATGTAAGAGTGGAGCAGAAAGTATCAGTAGCACTGTTAACATCAAGAGATGATAATTGTTCAGGGGAAGGAAGCAAAGATGAAACCATAGCAGATAGCCGGAGGGTGAGAGAGAGCGTAGGTTACATCGAAAGATGAAATGTGGAGGGGTATGTGTTGTGTCAGAAACCATGTTGAGGTTAAGAGTGAGGAGGAAGTGATCCGAGGTGTGCAGTGGAGTAACCAGTACATGATCAGTGGAGCATTGTCATGTGAAAATCAGTTGGTTGCCTGATTTGTGAGTAGCCATAGTTAACACTTGCTTGAGATCAAAAGAGGCAAGCAGAGTGTGGAAGTCTGCAGCCTGAGGTTTATCTAGATGGATGTTGAAGTCTCCAAGCATTACTAGGGGAGTACCATCCTCAGGAAAGGTTGCGAGCAGCACATCCAATTCTTCCACGAAGTTACCTAGTGGTCCTGGGGGTCGATAAACAACTATAAAATGGATTTTAAAAGGGTGGGTAATAGTGGCTGAATGAGATTCAAAGGAGCTGTTGATACTCAGATATGGTAAAGGATTACATTTCCAATCATTAGAGATAAGCAGACCAGTACCTCCACCTCTTCCAGTCAGACGGGGGGAGTGGGAAAAAGAGAAATTATTGGAGAGTGCTGCAGGTGTAGCATTGTCCTCTGGTTCGATCCAGGTCTCTGTCAGGGCCATGAGGTTTAGTCTTGAATGACTAGTAATAAAAGTAATATATATAAACCTAATAAAAATAACAAACAACTAAATTACTAAAACTAATCAAAATGAAAAGAGAAAATATAAAATTAAAATCTAACAAAATTAACAAAAACTATAATAGTACATCAATGTTGCTAAAATAAAACAGTTTATAGTCATAAGAAATTATGTCATTTTAAAAATTTACCTGGCAACAGCTCCTTTTCTGTACTGTTGGATGGTTGGTCAGCGGCTGATATAACAGCAGTCTGAAGGCATAGATCGTGTCCAGACAGCGGGCCGAGAGTGTTGAAGGTAGAGGCCCACTGACTAATGGGCTCTTCTTGCCGTTCGGTGAGAACACTCATGGACGGATCAGATTTGGGTCCGGTTACAACTTTCCTCGTCTCTTCAACTCCACGCTGAAGAAGTCTGTAGTACAGCAAAGCCCTGTCACGCACACACACGTCGCTCTCTTCCTCTGCGGTGGACCAAAAAATATTGTAAATGAATCACAGAAGCAAGAAGCTCTTAACTAAATGTGTCAAAGGACACATTGCTTCTATTTAACATTGTCTGTAAACATGCTCTACACACCAATGCAGTAATGTAAAAGACGGCCCAGCATGTCTTGAGTCTCAGCGGGACGGCACAGGAACATCTTGACTGCGGTGGTCAGCAGCTCCATCTTCACAGCCAAGGACAACTCAGTCTTCAGCCCGTCTACGTAGCCCTCCATCACATAGGGGGCACTACTGATCTTTTCACCATGTTCTCCCAGAAGCCATAACAGAGCCTGCTTTCCTTGCGAAAAACAGGAAAAGGATGTAACCTTGTCTTCTCTGTAATAGAAACTTTACCATTTCATATCAGGATGATCAGGAGGTGAGATATGCCTTGGCTTTCTCTTATACTGATGTGGATATTCAGAAGACTGTGTGGTAGGCTGCACTGGGCTTTAGCTTGGTTGTCTTCTGTAAAGCTAATTTGAGGCATCTGTGCTCCAGGGAAAGTTCTTTAGCCACTGTATACAGACTTTGAATTTGTGATGATCTGAAGGCCTGTAGTGCCAGACATATTCCTTGATGACGTAAAGAGACTAAAAGCTGGATATGATTTTCTGGCTAAGCCATAAATGATAATGTTTAAATACTCCAGGCTCTGCTCCCAACTTAAAATAGCCATGGCTTTAAACCATCTACATTTTAATATCTTTATATGAGGCATAAAAGACAATTCATTATCAAGGGTCAAAGCATTTGAACATAATGCTACCATGTTAGCATTAAGTATAAATAACACATAAGATGCAAATACTGTGGAGATGTTTATCATATTTGTATCACTATATACATAAGCAACAATACATGGACACACCGTTCATAAGTTTGGGGTTTTGTTGTTTTTGAAAGAAGCTGCTTATGTTCACCAAGGTTGCATTTATTTGATTATATTGTGAAATATTATTACAATTTAAAAGAACTGTTTTCTATGTGAATATATTGTAAAATGTAATTTATTGCTGTGATCAAAGCTGAATTTCAGCATCATTACTCCAGTCTTCAGTGTCACATGATCCTCCAGAAATCAGTATAATATGCTGATTTGCTGCTCAAGAAACATTTATTATTATCATCAATCTTGAAAGCAGTTGTGCTGCTGAATAGTTTTGTGGAAACTGTGATACATTCATTTCAGGATTTATTTTTGATGAAATTCTATTTCAGATAAATGCATTTCCTTTGAACTTTCATCAAAGAAGGAATTCTGAAAAAAACAGCAACATTGATAATAATCAGAAATGTTTCTTGAGCACCAAATCAGCATATTAGAATGATTTCTGAAGGATCATGTGACACTGATTTGTAAAATAGTTTCACAATATTACTATTTTTGCTGTATTTTGGATCAAATAAATGCAGCCATAGTGAGCAGAAGAGACTTAAAAAACTTACCGATCTAAAACTTTTGATTGGTAGTGTATATTACTGATCCCAAACATTTGGTAGTATATGAAACAACAGGCCCTTTTCCCCCAGAATACGTTTTTAGTGTCCCCTGTATCTTATGGTGACCTGGAATCAATCAGTTTGATAAGTTTGGACCCAACTGACTTTATGTTTCTCATTACCTTTTCAATTGCAAGACGTATGTTAAAATGCTTGAAATTATTTTTGTAGATAATTATAAATTGCCAATGCATGCATTTCTTTACAAAACTAACATTTTTTTTCCATAGTGTAAAGGATGAGTTTAATGGGATTGTGAAGAAAAAGCATCAAAAAGTGCCAAACATAGCTTGCTTGGTGTAGATGGTTAAAGTAAAAATGCGGGTGAATCATCTCACCTCACTATCTTGAGGACTGTCAACACAGACCTCCACGGTCTGACACACAGCGGCTGTACTCTGAGGACAGAACCACACCAAATCCCTGAACGTCTGGATCACCGCTAAACACACACACACACACACATACACACTCACTCACAGACACACACACACACACACAGGTTTGTTTTTATGGTTTATGGGGACTCTCCATAGGCGTAATGGTTTTTATACTGTACAAACCGTATTTTCTATCGCCCTACACCAACCCTACCCCTAAACCTACCCCTCACAGGAAACTTTCTGCATTTTTAGATTTTCAAAAAAACTCATTCTGAATTATTTATAAGCCTTTTGAATTACGGGGACACTGAAAATGTCTTCATAAATCACCTTCTCGTTGTAATTCCTATGTCATACACATGTTATTATACAGATTTGTGTCCTCATAAACCACATAAACATGCACACACACACACACACACACACACAGACACAGACACAGACACACACACACACACACACACACAGACACAGACACAGACACACACACACACACACACACACAGAAGAGTTGATTCTTTGAACTGATAATGGCCTTTAGCAAACAAAGCATTTATCCAGGCTGGAGAAAGCACCTGCTAAAAGGTGTGTGAAAATCAAGCAGTACCTCATTTAGAAAAAAAATCTAACAAACCTTTACTCATTAACTAGAAGATATAAAAAAATCACAAGCATGCACGAGTGTGGCTTAGATTTCTCTCATACCTGACGTGATGTGATCTTGTTTCAATGCCAGCAGGCCAGTCAGGATATCAAGACACTTCTCACTGTAGGTTCGTGCAATGCGACCTTAAAAAAAAAAAAGAGAGAGAACATTTTTTACTTAACATAATAAATTTAGACATAACAGTAATAGTCATTTTAGCAGAAAGTTGCAGTGATAAATGAAGACAGTGATGTATATTACAGGACAAGCGATATGAAGTGCCATACTGCCTGCTTTGGAAATATTAAAAGTTAACCTGTCCATTCAGAATTGTATGTATTTTTTTTAAGGTCTCAGGTCATTACAAATTTTACACACCACTCTCCACGAATAGGGAACAGATTGTGTCCCTTAACTTTTTTGAAAACAATAACGGTTCAAATGCGGTTCATTTTAAATTTGTATGGTAAATTAATATATCTTAGCATGAAGGCGCTAGTTTTAGTCAAATCTCTGAACTAAGATTCTTAAATGGTAATTTAATTTAATGTACTTTTTTTGGGGGGGTGGGGGGTATCTGAGTGGTCTCAACTGTATCTGACAATTAAAATCATTCAAAAACAATCGATAATATATATTAAATAAATACATAAATATTATAATTATAAATTTGACAATGGATTGATGTTGAATTTATATTTAATTAAATGTAGAAAAACTATCAAAAATCGTTGTACCATTTTTTCACAAAAAAGGAAGATTTCATCGTCTCATTACTTTGCGTACTACCGTTACTTTATGATTTTCTTTTTTTAATGCAATGTAAAAAAAAATAAGGCTAAATTTAAACACCATTGCCCATTCTGGTATTTATTATTTATTTTTCCCTTAATATAAAAATAACTTATTACATTTGTTAATTTAGTGTATTACTAAATGAAACCACACAAACAAGAGTTGTAAACTATATTTAGACATGCCCCAAATTTTAACAACAGGCCAGGGTTGCAAAAATCACAAAATAATTCTCAGTCGAATGAATGAATGAATGGTTTGACCTGATGAAGTGGGCAAACAACATTTTCTGAAAGTTAGGCACCTCATTATTTGTTAAAAATAAGAATAAAAAAAGTTTAAAGCCAATTTTGTACCCTAAAGCCCCGTTCACACCAAGAACGATAACTATAAAGATAACGATATTAGCGTCCACGATATCGTCGGTTTATTCTAAGCGCGCGCTCAAGCTCGTTACAGCAGGATGGATTCTGATTGGCTCTCAGTTTTTTATCGTTCATCAGCTGGAGAAAAATCGTTTTGTAAGTGATTCCAACGATCTCGTTTCTCTTTGTCTTTATCGTTATAGTTGTGGTGTGGGCTCTGCTATTCCTTGCTTATCTTTATCGTTATCTTTATAGTTATCGTCCTTGGTGTGAATGGGCCTTAATTGTGCAAAATGCTTACAGCAGCCAATTTGACATTTGCTCCTCAAAATAAAGTTTCCATGGTTTACGATTATTTAACCAAACGTCTGAGAGAAACAAGCACCGTCTTATGAGAAGTGGTACCTATAGCAGCAATGGCTGCCTGGGCCAGTTCAGGAGACACATCAGTGCAGTAGCTACTCAGCTCCTCCAAAACCAAAGCCACATTTTCATCATTCACCAGCTCCACCAAGATCTCCATCTTGTGAAACTTAATGTAAGTCGGTTCAGAGTATCCACAAAAGAAGCGTTTGTAATGTGTGCTGAAAAGGCCCGGCTGACTCCGCATGACCTTCTGTACGTGACAGAGGCCAGCAAAGCGAAGCTCGCGTGACGCAGCACCGCAGGTGGCCAGCAGGGGCGCACTTGTGCACAGGAGGGCGTCGGCCTGCACAGCAGGGTGGGCGGAGGCTAAATGAAGGAAGAGGCGGAGCGTGGCAACTGCAACATGTGCATGAGTGCTTTGGAGGAAGGAGTCTAGTAGGCTGAGGACGTCGAACAACTCGTCGTCGCTACGAGGACGGTAACGTAGCAGGAAGGTGAGGACTTCACTCTGAGCCCAACTGTCCAGGTCCTTCATTCTGAAGGACAAAACATCAAAAACACAAAGTCAGTCATTAGGCAATCTGTTAAAAAGGTCAAAGACATACATGATGCTTTCGAAAGCCTTTGAAAAACTTTTGTCCTGCAAAAATGCAACTTTGAAATTGTTAACTAATTGATGTGTTGATATTGTTAACTAAAACTAAAACCATTAAAAGACATTTTCGGAAATTGAAATAAAGCTGAAATAAAATACAAATATTCAATGACAAACTTACAAAAAATTTAAGTAAAAATGTTGCCGTGGCAACTTACTGAAATAAGTTTAAGCTGAAGTACTAAAATTAAAACTAAAACAGACAATTAAATTAAAGCTAAATAGAAATGCCCACAACAAAATGACTAAAACCTAAACTAAGATTCAAATTAAAACTGAAAATATAAAAACAAGAGCTCATTGAAAATTGATGAATTATATAATAGTATATAAACATACAAGTGTTGTTTTAGTATTGAGATATTATTATAGTTTGTAATTAATATTCTGAATCAGTTTTTATATTCGAATGTTAGTTAAAGTTTTTGTCATTTTGATGACTTTTTTTTTTTTTTACATATGTCTGTATAGTTTTTTTTATTCCATTTTTAATTTCAGTTATTTTAGTACATCAAGTTAAACTAAATTTAAATGAGAAATGTTGCCTTGACAACTAGCTGACATTTTGTTTAAAAATTGTTTTTAAGTAACGGAATATTACCGATTAAAAAGAATACACTTAAATGCATTCAAGGTGTAAGGAAAATGTTACTATTTTTTACTTGACAAAGTCATTCATCTAAAAATCTTCTTGAAATAGTGTTTGTTTTTTTTAACCGTACAAAACCAAGATGAATATTAAGAGCACATTTCCTGCATAGAACTTAACACGTGATTTAAACTACATTTTTGACATTCTTAAAATAAACAAGGGTGAGTTTTCATGACAAACATGACATGCTTGGATGAACTATTTTACATAACATAATGGCAAACACGGCACACCTGTTGAGAAGATGATGAGCAATGGGTTTGTTAATAACCACACCACCCTCATCTTTGAGAATTTCCTCCAAGGCACGAAGACAGTTCACTACAACCACAGGGTCTGGGTCCCTCAGAAGAGCATACAGCTCATTTACTATAATGCCATCTAAAAGACACACATCCAGAACATTTATTTACATGTATTCATTTGGCAGACAGAGACTTAAAGGAATAGTTCACCCAAAAATGAAAATTTGCTGAAAATTTAGCATTGCATCACTTGCTCAGCAATGGATCCTCTGCAGTGAATGGGTGCCGTCAGAATGAGAGTCCAAACAGCTGATAAAAACATCACAATAATCCACACCACTCCAGTCCATCAGTTAACGTCTCGTGAAGTGAAAAGCTGCATGTTCTTAAGAAACAAATCCATCATTAAGACGTTGTTTCTGGCTAAAATACGAGTCCTCTAGTCATAATACTGTTTTCTCCAATGAAAAAGTCAAACAAAAACAGTGTAAAACAGCTCTAAACAAATATGTTGATGGATTTTGATGTGAGAAGACAACAGTGGATGGACTTTTTCAATGGAGGAAGTGTTATTATGGATTGTGGTCTTGTATTTCGGCCAGAAGCAACGGTTTGAAGTTAAAAACATCTTAGTGATGGATTTGTTTCTTATACAAAACGTTAACTGATGGACTGGAGTGGTGTGGATTATTGAGATGTTTTTATCAGCTGTTTGGACTCTCATTCTGACGGCACCCATTCACTGCAGAGTACACATTCCGCTAATTTTCATTTTGGGACATTCTACATTCATTACATAAAAACATTAACTGGACCCTTACAGAAAGGCTATAAATACGCTGCGCATTTAGGAAATACAGGAAATGCCACTGTACTGTACTGCTGTTTAGAAGTACTGTGATCAACATTTCCTGGTTTTGCCCTGCTTTTGATGAAAAGTTGGTAGGTTTTAGTTTTCAACAAAAATGCAATCCAACGGGTTGTCTACAGGTATGTGATATGTTCTGTTGAAAATATGTTCTTTTCAGTTAAGAATTCTTGACATGCTGTTAGTCATCACAATCACCAGAAACATTCCTTTAAGGGAGCTGTCTGACCCAACATTACAAATCGCTCTGCTTATGACTTTTTATGCACATATTCATCAAGCAATATTCATCACATTATCCTTAACTAGTATTACAATTAAGATAAACAGAATGCTTGACTCTACCTATCTCTGTGTTGGGCTGCAGACTGTGCATTTTGGCACAACCAAGCACAGCGACTCTCCTTACGTAACTGGCCTTGTCCCGCAGACCAGCAACAATGGGCTGCTCTATGTACTCTGTCATTCCTGGCATCCTGAAAAACAAGCAAATAAAAGGAAGCATGTCAGTTAGGACAGGTAGACACAGTAGCTTAGTATTTATTGAAGAAATATTCCACTGTAGACTGTTTCACACCATGCTTTTCACACAGTTAAAGGGTGTGAAGAAATGCACATGAAGAAAATGTGGGGGAGCTGCTCATGCAAATCTCACAACCATGAGTCCAGAGTGTTCTGATTGGTTGTCTGGGATGTTGTTGGGAAATTACTAGTCTGGTGACTGCTAGGGTGTTGCTAGGCTGTTGTTTCGTTTTGAATGGTCTCTGAGTTGTTGCTACGTGATTCCTAAGATGGTTGCTAGGGTGTTGTTTCAGAGTTCTGTGTGGTTGCAAGGTTGTTGCTTGTTAGGATGTTCTGGGGCATTGCTGGGTCATAGCTTGACTATTGTAGTGTTCTGGGTGGATGTTAAGGGGTTGCTAGGTGATTGCTAGGGTGTCTTGGATGGTTGCTAGGGTGATGGCTGCTAGAGTGTTGCTAGGCTGTTGTTGTTGTGTTCTGAATGGTTGCTAGGTTGCCAGGGTGATTGCTAGGTGGTCTTGTGTGGTTGCTATGGCGTTACTTGTTAGGGTGTTGCTAAGATATTGTTGCAGTGTTCTGGCAGGTTGCTAGTTTATTGCTAAATGATCGGGTGTTGTTTCAGAGTTCTGTGTGGTTGCAAGGTTGTTGCTTGTTAGGATGTTCTGGGGCATTGCTGGGTCATAGCTTGACTATTGTAGTGTTCTGGGTGGATGTTAAGGGGTTGCTAGGTGATTGCTAGGGTGTCTTGGATGGTTGCTAGGGTGATGGCTGCTAGAGTGTTGCTAGGCTGATGTTGTTGTGTTCTGAATGGTTGCTAGGTTGCCAGGGTGATTGCTAGGTGGTCTTGTGTGGTTGCTATGGCGTTACTTGTTAGGGTGTTGCTAAGATATTGTTGCAGTGTTCTGGCAGGTTGCTAGTTTATTGCTAAAGTGTCCTGGGAAGTTGCTAGGGTGTTTAGTGTAGCAAAGGCCAAATGTTGCAGTGTTTATTGCTGGGGCAATGTTGTCGATGTGTTCTGGGGGGTTGTTATGGGGTTGCTACGGTGTCTTGAATGGATGTCAGGCTGTTGTTGTAGAATTCTGAATGATTGCGAGGGAGTTGCTAAGTTATTGCTAAAGTGTTCTGGGAGGTTGCTAGGATGTTGATTGTTAGGGTGTTGCAAGGCTGATTGTTGTGGTGTTTGGGACTTTGTTTGGCTGTTGATATTGTGTTCTGAATGGTTGCTTGGGTGTTTTAAGTGATTGCTAAGGTGCCTTGGTGGTTGTTGGTGGTCCTGTGTGGTTGCTAGGGCATTACTTGTTAGGATGTTGCTAAGATGTTGTTGCAGTGTCCTGGGAGGTTGCTAGGCTATTGCTAAGTGATCACTACAGTGTCCTGGGTAGTTGCTTGGGCGTTGTGTAGCGAAGCCGACTGTTGCAGTGTTTGTTGCTGGGGCATTATTTGAATGTTGTCACCATGTTCTGGGTGGTTGTTAGGTGGTTGCTAGGCTGATTGTTGTGGTGTTCTAAGACAGTGTTTGGCTGTTGTTGTTGTGTACTCAATGGTTGCTAGGGTGTCTAAGTGATTGCTAAGGTGCCTTGGGTGTTTGTTGGTGGTCTTGTGTGGTTGCTAGGGCATTACTTGTTAGGATGTTGCTAAAATGTTGTTGCCGTGTCCCGAGAGATGATGTTGCTTGTTAGGGTGTTGCAAGGCTGATTGCTGTGGTGTTCTAAGACACAGTTTGGCTGTCGTTGTTGTGTACTCAATGGTTGCTAGGGTGTCTAAGTGATTGCTAAGGTGCCTTGGGTGGTTGTTAGGGGGTTGCTAGGTTGTTGTTGTTGTAGAATTCTGAATGATTGCAAGGGAGTTGCTAAGTTATTGCTCAAATGTTCTGGGAGGTTGCTAAGATGTTGATTGTTAGGGTGTTGCAAGGCTGATTGTTGGGGTGTTCTGGGACTTTGTTTGGCTCTTGATATTGTGTTCTGAATGGTTGATTGGGTGTCTAAGTGATTGTTAAGTTGCCTTGGTGGTTGTTGGTGGTCCTGTGTGGTTGCTAGGGCATTACTTGTTAGGATGTTGCTAAGATGTTGTTACAGTGTCCTGGGAGGTTGCTAGGTTATTGGTAAGTGATCACTAAGGTGTCCTGGGTAGTTGCTTGTGTAGCAAAGCCAACTGTTGCAGTGTTTGTTGCTGAGGCATTGTTTGAATGTTGTCGCCATGTTCTGGGTGGTTGTTAGGGGGTTGCTAGGTTGTTGTTGTTGTAGAATTCTGAATGATTGCAAGGGAGTTGCTAAGTTATTGCTCAAATGTTCTGGGAGGTTGCTAAGATGTTGATTGTTAGGGTGTTGCAAGGCTGATGGTTGAGGTGTTCTGGGCCTTTGTTTGGCTGTTGATATTGTGTTCTGAATGGTTGATTGGGTGTCTAAGTGATTGTTAAGTTGCCTTGGTGGTTGTAAGGGAGTTGCTAAGTTATTGCTAAAGTGTTCTGGGAGGTTGCTAGGATGTTGATTGTTAGGGTGTTGCAAGGCTGATTGTTGGGGTGTTCTGGGACTTTGTTTGGCTCTTGATATTGTGTTCTGAATGGTTGATTGGGTGTCTAAGTGATTGTTAAGTTGCCTTGGTGGTTGTTGGTGGTCCTGTGTGGTTGCTAGGGCATTACTTGTTAGGATGTTGCTAAGATGTTGTTACAGTGTCCTGGGAGGTTGCTAGGTTATTGGTAAGTGATCACTAAGGTGTCCTGGGTAGTTGCTTGTGTAGCAAAGCCAACTGTTGCAGTGTTTGTTGCTGAGGCATTGTTTGAATGTTGTCGCCATGTTCTGGGTGGTTGTTAGGGGGTTGCTAGGTTGTTGTTGTTGTAGAATTCTGAATGATTGCAAGGGAGTTGCTAAGTTATTGCTCAAATGTTCTGGGAGGTTGCTAAGATGTTGATTGTTAGGGTGTTGCAAGGCTGATGGTTGAGGTGTTCTGGGCCTTTGTTTGGCTGTTGATATTGTGTTCTGAATGGTTGATTGGGTGTCTAAGTGATTGTTAAGTTGCCTTGGTGGTTGTAAGGGAGTTGCTAAGTTATTGCTAAAGTGTTCTGGGAGGTTGCTAGGATGTTGATTGTTAGGGTGTTGCAAGGCTGATTGTTGGGGTGTTCTGGGACTTTGTTTGGCTGTTGATATTGTGTTCTGAATGGTTGATTGGGTGTCTAAGTGATTGTTAAGTTGCCTTGGTGGTTGTTGGTGGTCCTGTGTGGTTGCTAGGGCATTACTTGTTAGGATGTTGCTAAGATGTTGTT